GTTTACTACAGTCTCTTTCTCTGTTCTTCTCTTATCTCTCATGATGAAATGAGAGTCCTTTGAGTGAGAAAATGTATACGTACATACAGATATAGAGAGAGAATAGTGGCTTTGTATTCTTTCTCTCTCTCTCTCTCTCTGATGAGTGATTCTAATCGCTAGGGAGACTTTGCTTTGCTTTTTATGCTGTTCTTGTTGGTGAAATTTGATTCTTTTTTGCTATAAATGCGAATTTAGCTTAGTTTTTCTCAGATCTGTGATTTACCATTCCAATCTGTTGTTGTATTTTCTATTTTTTATCTCTTTTTTTTTTTTTAGCTGTTCAACACTTTATCATCACCTTTTGATTTTTGGATTATGATGATGATAGTGCTCCGAATTTTCTTTTATTTCCTTATCCAATAATTTCCTCTCGAGAAAATTTATTTTCTTCTTTTGCCTCTTCGTTTCTTTCAGATCTATTCTGAAATTCGAAGAGCACCAAGAGAAGTCTAAACTCTCCATTTGTAGCTTTATTTTCCGCCAAAAATCTTTAGATCTAGCCTCCATCTTGTATATTTCAGCTTAGATGCAACAAAAAAGAGAAATCTTTTTTTGAACTTCAAAATCTGGACTTTTATCTTACTTCGCATTCAATAAATACTACATGGTATAGTAGTTGAAAACTGCGTATTTCACCTCCAAAAAAATCACATATATTTTGGGAAGAGCCGTGTTATCTGAAGATCGGGTCAGCTAGGGTTAAAACGGGCCAGATGCGTTCATTTCAGAGTATGCTGAATTACTTCCCGGAGGAAGTATTAGAGCACGTATTCGACTTTTTGACATCGCATCGGGACCGAAATGCGGTGTCTTTGGTGTGCAAGTCATGGTATGCGGTCGAGAGATTCAGTAGAGAGAAGGTTTTCATAGGCAATTGCTATACCATCAGCCCGGAGAGGTTGATTGCGAGGTTCCCTAGGGTTCGGTCGTTGACCCTCAAGGGGAAGCCTCATTTTGCGGACTTCAACTTGGTCCCCCACGATTGGGGCGGATACGTGCAGCCCTGGATCGAGTCCATGGCGAAAGCCGGTGTGAATCTGGAGGAGCTAAGGCTGAAGAGGATGTTGGTTTCTGATGAAAGCCTCGACCTGCTTGCAAATTTTTTTCCCAATTTCAAGTCTTTGGTTTTGGTTAGCTGTGATGGATTCAGCACTGATGGCCTTGCTGCCATTGCATCCAATTGCAGGTCTAGACTTATACCTCATGCTTTCTAGATGTTCTTCCCTTTAATTTAGCCGCATTAGTTTTTGTTCAGCTGTCATTTTGTCTTTATTTTCGCTATTAATACAATTAGAATGATGCTTGGCTTTGTCTTGGAGCTTTTGTTGGTTTTGGCTACTTAAATTTCTGATATTGGTTGATCTTGATGTTGAGTTGATGGCTACTATCTAAGTCATTAAATCCTTCTTCTGGTGCTTCACTTCTGGTATTGGTCCCGACCTTGCTTTCACCCCAAGACTGCTTAAATAGGCATATTGTGCATTTTTCGATGTACCATCTGAATTAATTTTTCCCTGTGACATGATACTTCGTTTCCACTCTTCCAAGATGCAGCACCAACACCAACATGGATTCTTCCCCGTGATTTGCTTATCTATCTATTGGCTAATAAAATCAAGATGCATCCAGGATTTAAAAGTATTAATTAATCATTTTTCAAAAAATCCAAAATGTAAATATAGACTAAATAGCTGTTAAGTAATGTTTAATGGGTAATTTCTAGTCTTTGGATTAACTACCTTGCGAACTCTCAATACTTAATTAAAGTACTGATTACTGACTTTCCTCAAAATAAATGTAGATATTTTGGATGAGCATAATAGTTATTGATTTCTTGAGCTATACCTTTGGATAGTGTTATGTTTGTTGAACAGCGCAGTCATTGTGACAGGTTTCTTAGGGAGCTGGACTTGCAAGAAAATGAAATTGAGGACCGGAGGGGGCAGTGGCTTAGCTGCTTTCCTGACAGCTGCACCTCTCTTGTCTCTTTGAATTTTGCATGCCTCAAGGGAGAAGTTAATTTGCTGTCTCTTGAGAGATTGGTTGCAAGATGCCGTAATCTTAGGAGTCTGAGGGTTAACCATGCTGTGCCTCTCGATGCTCTCCAGAGAATTTTAGCGCAAGCACCTCAACTGGTGGATTTAGGGATTGGATCGTTTGTCCACGATCCTGACTCAGAGATATATAACAAAATAGAAACTGGTATGCAGAAGTGTACATCAATCACAAGCTTGTCAGGGTTCTTGGATGTTACTGCACGCTGCTTGCCTGCCGTTTACACAATTTGCAGACACTTGACTTCGTTGAATCTGAGCTATGCTCCAGGAATCTATAGTGATGAGCTTGTAAAGTTGATTTGCCACTGCAACAAACTAGAGCGCCTATTGGTTTGATTCTCTTGAAATTGTTTCTTAAATATTTGTTTAGTGTTTTCTTGAAATAGTGACTATTAAGTACACATTTTACAGGTTTTAGATACCATTGGAGATAAAGGGCTCGGTGTTGTGGCATCAACTTGTAAAGAACTACAGGAACTGAGGGTCTTCCCATCTGATCTCTATGGTGTTGGCAATGCAGCTGTAACTGAAGAAGGATTAGTTGCGATATCAGCTGGTTGTCGCAAGCTTAATTCAATTCTTTATTTCTGTGAGCAGATGACCAATGCAGCACTCATTATGGTTGCCAAAAATTGCCCCAATTTCATTCGCTTCAGATTGGCCACGTTTAACCCAACTGCACCAGATGCTGTAACAATGCAGCCATTAGATGAAGGTTTTGGGGCAATAGTTAAGTCATGCAAGGGTCTAAAGCGGCTGTCTGTCTCTGGCCTCCTGACTGATCAAGTTTTCCTTTACATGGGAAGGTACGCTAAGCAGCTTGAAATGCTTTCAATTGCCTTTGCTGGGGATAGTGACAAGGGAATGCTTTATGTGCTGAATGGATGCAAGAAGCTCAAGAAGCTGGAGATAAGGGATAGCCCCTTTGGTAATGCGGCACTTCTAGCGGACATGGGGAAGTATGAAACAATGCGATCCCTTTGGATGTCGTCCTGTGAAGTGACCCTTGGAGCTTGCAAAACCCTTGCCCAGAAGATGCCGAGGCTCAATGTTGAGGTCATTAATGAAAGTGATCAAATGGAGGCTAGTGTCGATGATAAACATAAAGTAGAGAAAATGTACTTGTATCGGACATTGGTTGGGCCCCGGAAAGATGCACCAGATTTTGTGTGGACATTATAGATGCATCGCCTGCCAATTCTTCTGTGTGTCATTTAGCTGTATTTTATTTAGAATTCTTCTTCAACGGTGTGGTTGGTTAGTACTTTATTGTATTAATTTAAAGCTGTGCTACGGAACTTTTGTTGATATTGACCATTGCCAGTGCTATCAGTAACTGTTTAACTACCTTAAGGTCATGTTTAATTGCAACAAATTTTATGGAAATGCCACATTTGAGAAAAAAACAAATTTCACTTTGATCGTTTGATTGTAATATGGAAATAGGAATCGAATTTCAAGGTACAATTACTTTAAGTTGTATTTCCTTCGTTTTTATGGAAAATGAATTTCTAAAGGTTTGATGTGTTTTTATTTTTCAACATGAAATTGAAAATTCTTTTCACCTTTGACTATCAAACGGGCTTTAAAATTCTTGCTCTGGCCTTCATGATACTTGTGTGAAACAATATGGGTCCGTTTGATAATCCTCATTTTTCATGGAAGTGGGAATTTTTTTTCAATTTTCTAGTTTTTGGTTTGTTTGATAGTACAAATTTTTCATGGAAAATTTTTTCCCTCTGCACCCACACGTGCACTTTTTCCATGACATTGGTTCTCATTTTCCAATTTTTTTTTTTATTTGTCTTTGCGAAAAATTCTAGACACAATGGTAAAATTTTTTTTATCACTTTTATTGATAATTTTCATGCAAAACAAAGTCAAACGAATGGTATTCAGTTGGTATTTTTTTTTTTTTGGCCAATTGGAACAAATTCTAGACCCAATAGTAGAAAAATTATCACTTTAATGGACAATTTCATAAAAAAGCGAAGCCAAACAGACACCAAATTTTCAACATTTTCCATGAAAAATTATACAATTCAAACACAATTAATTACAATTCCCAATAAAACAATTTTTGGGCAAATCAATCCACTGTAAAACATTTTCTTTCCACCCATTTTCCACATTTACAATCAAACGGATCCTATATTCATTTTGAGCATGCACCTTTCGATTAGCGTCTTCAATTTGAAATCTGAAAATTTACCTGGTAAAAAGGCATTGCATTCCTTTACCCCGTTTTTCTACCCCTTTAATTTGTCTCCCTAGTTTTTCGAATGACATTCTTGAATGAGAATTAAAATTTATTTCGAAATATTGATAATTATCTTCAGGTTAGGGTAAGTGTCTCACCGAACTCGTAACACCCTCAGACCTAGACATCCACCATATACTATTGAGCAGAATTTGTGACACAAATAATCTGCGTACTCTTTATCATACATTTAAACGGATGTTTGAGCAATTAATTTACCCAATGTCCATTAGTCAAACTTGGAGGAATCCTGTAGCAAAACACAAACTGTATATTTAGGAAAATGGGAATTGATGCAGAAACTGCTAAAGAACTTGCTCCAATTGGCAATTGCTAAACTTAAATAAACAAGAAAGCCTCGATCACCATGTTCCATTGTTGGTTCAAACAAAATATACATAAATCTGGTGAGAAATATCATCCTGCCAAGGAGATTGATTTTCGCCAAACACATTTACACTTTGACAAAGCAATGACATCAATATCATACCAATTTAAAATAGCGCACACATACTACTCAGTTCTATCATTAATAAACATCTTAGTATTACGAACAATCGAGGAACAATCTGTAAAAAGCAGTATATCCATCACTAAAACGATGAATTACTAGACACCATCATATATAGCACCTTGGACGCTCAGAAGCAGCATTCTTCCAATATGCAGCAGCAGCAAAGTGCGGCCAAACTGAATTGCACAACAGACAAAATAGAAGTTTCAACGGTCCACAATGGAGCAAAGCATGCCATCATATTATCAGGAAAACTCAACAAATTAGCAACTAAAAATTGATGACATTTTTGAGTTGGATAGGGTGGGTCCAAGTCAAATAGCAACAGTTCAAAACTTTAACGATATCTAAGAGTTTTGAGCTTATTCGGTGTTGTTAGCAAGCTTCTACATACAATTCTCTTAATTTATAAGGTTTGATGAACTGCCAATGGTATTGTGTTACAAATACATATCCACCAAATAATGTGGCATTTCACTTATCGAATTCTGAACTTCTACCATAGGGAAAAAGAAAAGGAATCCTGGCTAATAAAGGTTACTTCCAGAAGGCAGCACAACAGCATCTATCAATAAATAGCTCCAATTTGAGAGATGCCATCCCGACATTCACCTAGAACATGATTTACTCCAACTCTAGTAATAACTATATTTTTTAGTTACATTTTGATCTCGGCTTAGACTGCACGGCTAAAATATTTTCGTCTAGCACCAATCAATCCAGACAATATTTATAAAAGCTATAGGATTTGACCTGAGTGAGTGATTTGACTGATCAATTCAACCTTACTAAAGAAAAAGTTTTCTTCTGAACAGTAGATAGAGAGTTATGCAAGTGAAAATGCAAAGTAAATGTTATATAACCTGCTGTGCACAAATTGGTAAGACACAATATAGGCAGCATTGATGAATTCAGAATTCTAGGATATCAGTCAGCATAAAAGCAGCAATTATGGACAGTAGCTCATGTTCTATTGGGTTTGGTACAATCAATCATTTGAAATTTCGTATGTTATGCTGTTAGGTTTTACAGTATAAACATTTAGTGAATCTATACTGGTAGCTTTTCACCTGAATTCCATATTAGATCCTGAAACTTCAAAATCCATTACGTGTATATACAATTTCAGCGATAGAAGATAGATGAATCATATAACAATAAATTAGTAAAGACACCATTACTTACCAATGATTATTAAGCTCATTGCTCATTTCTCGACAAGACACAAAAAATGACGAAAAAAAGCAAGTATTTGAAAGTTGACGCAAATTACACCAATATTTAATTCCCTTAATAATTGCATTAATTTTCACGTTGAGGATGCACAAAACCTCATCATAAGTCTTCAAATATAAATATAAAGGCAAATTCTTTTGAGCTGCCTTATTTTGATGATGGAAATAAAGAACGACCCCTTTCAATTCTGTTTTTCTTCTATCTTTCACTTCATTTGAATCTGGCACCAAATTTATGTATATACTTTGCATGTGCTCAAACATATTTGCCACAGATTCAGAACAAAAAAAAAGCTCAGTGCTGGCCACCCTCCCTCACAATCCACACACCTCAGCTCAATCACCAACAGACAACAATATCCCATAACATACAGAATCTTTAACCCCTTCTCCCATTCATTGAAACACACTTTAAAATAATTTAAAGCAAGATGTCGTTTTTGGTCTAATAAATGCTTTATAATAGAGTTTTTCACTTTCTAGTTATCTCCAATATATTAATTCATCAAATACAAATAGCAATGACACATTGATAACTGCAGCAACAAGGGAAGTAATTGACGTACCAGCCTCGTAAAAAAGATGTACAACCAGTATGGCCATCGTAATGGTGATGCTCACAGTGGGGGCCCTGGTATTGGGGGGGTGGCGGGTACCCTTGATTGAAATATCCTTGATAAGTGTCTCCAGGCCTTTGAGGTGGTGGATAATATCCCGGTGGTGGATATGGGTACCCCTCGTGTGGCGGTTGTGGTGGTGCCGACGGGTACCCAGGTGGCGGATAAGTTCCGTACCCTAATTATACAGATCCGTAAATTAAAATAACCCAGAAATTCAACAAAGAAACTCCATTTAAAACAGAGCTCTGTACTCTAATTATATAAATCGAGAAGCTAAAAGTTAAAATCACTCAAGAAATTCATAGTTCCTACCCTAATTATACGAATCAATAAATTAAAATAAATCCATAAATTGAAGCAATAGATTTCATATATACATAGTTCCGTACCCTAATCATAAGAATTCAGAAATTCAGAGAAAAGATTTCATTTAAAAAATTAATTGGGGAAAAGAAAATGGACCTGGTGGAGGGTAAGGTTCTTGATGCACCTTCTGGTAACTCATCTTCTCTTTCTCTCCCCTGGAAATACTACTCGATCGATCAAAGGTTTGAAAAAGAGAGATCTTGTTGTATGTAAATGCCGACGTGGTTTCGTAATGAATGAATTATACAGTTTGTTAGGCTGTATCCAATCAACTGATGCCACGTTTGAAATGGCTTGTACACAAGAAAGGGTGTATTGGTTAATCACAAAAATAAATAAATAAAAATGTCAAAAGTCAACGTGTATACAATTTTTAGGGGGAATTACGCGAAACAACTAATGACCTTTGATCAACATTAAAAAGAAAAGAAAACATTAAAATATTTTAATTGGGAAAAATGACAAAGTTACCCTTCAGCTAATGTCTTCTTCACCTCATTTTCTTGTACATTTCAAGATTGCAAAAACTTTTTTCCTTTATTCAAGTTTATTTCACACTACTTCATCCCTACAAATTGGTACAGAAAAAAAAAAGGTAATTTCTTCCTTCAATTTTTTCATTTGAAATGTGATTTTGTGCTTTCATTGGTGTAGGATTAGCATAAAAAAGTGTAAGAAAGACATTGTTTATGATTTAATAGTTTATTTTGGACATTAGAGAATGCAATTTTTATTCTGCAAATTATTGCTTAAACCATAGACAAGTCAATAGGAACTGATAAAATCCCTACCACCTAAGTATCTGCGTGCATATCAGATGAAGAGGAGCCTTGAACGGGTAAAATGGTTAGTTTATCTAGCTTGAATTTGGCTTGCAAACGAAATACGGGTTGTTGTTCTCTCTCTCTCTCTCAATTGTTGGAAGAGTCAGGCCCAAAAATAGGGCGTCGAGGTCCCCCCCTCCAATAGGGCGACGCCATCTCGGTGCCTGTTTTTGGCCCTGGCTCAAATATTTTCCCTTGTCGGAAATTGTCTATTTTAACTCAAAGTCAAAGATGAGTTATTAATTAATTAAACTGAGACATTGCCTGTTATCCATAAAAAATTCTCTTTCTACATTTTCATTTTCTTAACTTATTTAATTTTTAAAAAGTATTATCCTACCTATTTAAGTATGCGTATGATTTTAGTTGAGCAAAAGTATTTACACAATATTATCCTACTTATTTAAGTCCGCATATGATTTTAGTTGAGTTTTTTTAACGTGGATTAAAGAGGAATTCATATATTAACATTGTTATAAACAAAAATTGTGTCAATGAATAATTTAGTGAAACGTGTTTATTTCAATATCATAATATGTTTTGTGCATTTAGAAGGATGCACAGAAAATTTCACTTGCCTATACTTTAAAGGTGTGGATTAATTGGATTGATAATGAGGACAAGTTAGAGTTGCGATAAACTCTTTGCTACTATCCGAAAATATATCCTTTGCCATTGGCATTATTTGTTATTTCGCGTACGTACTTGCCTTTTTTTTTTTGCATTTTCAGCAAGTAAAGATGGATGCTCCAGACAGAGTAAACGTGAAGATTAGTAATTGGTGTAAAATAAAATTGATTGAAGAAGAATTCTATAGCTTGGATGATAGGCATCAAGACCTATTTACAATTTTTTTTTTTTTTTTTGGACATAAAGTTTGCATCACAATTGGTTCACCAATTAATTTTGAGGTAGATAAATTAGAGACAATGTTACAAAATTTGGGTTGTAAGAGTTAATGACTGGTTTATATTTAGGATAGTTTGCCAAAACACATCTGTGATGCTTAGCTGGCCAAATGTATGAAACCTATTCAAGCTCAGTTCAATATAGATTGGTTCGTTAGGAATACATGTCCAATTGGCAAAAAAAACTAGTTGCGGAGATATTTGCATGGCATTTTGATCCATATATTAATTAATTTTAATTTTGAAGTTACTTTGTTTCTTTACTTTTCTGAAGATGATTTTTTTTAATTGCACATTTTTGATTTTAAGTTAAATGTTGATGCGTATCTTTATAGTGTCGATAGCTTTATGTGACTACCTTTGTTTCAAAATATAGGTTAAAATCAAAAAAATTGACACTTGAACGTTATGTCTCAAGAGAACGGCACAAATGTCGCTAGTGGGCTTAAACGTTCATGAGAACGACACAAGTGTTGTTACTTGAATTATAAGCATCCATGAGAACGGTACAAGTGATATTATTGGACTTATAAGCATCTCTGAGAACAATACAAGTGTCGTTACTGAACTTATAAGTGTCCATGAGAATGACATTTGTGGCGTTACATGTGAAACATATTTATATTGTAAGATGCGTATGACCTATACAAAAATTGTGCTTTCACCAACTCGATACAAAAATATATGTCATTTCAATTGTTCTTGTGACATGATCAACGTGTTACGTTAAGGAGTCTATTATTAAAGTTCGTTTTGCTGAAAATAATAAAATATAGGTGAAAACTACAAAACAATACAATTGTCGTTACTGGATATGAAAACGCCCCTTGTGCCATTATAGGTGCAAACACGAGTATAGGAAGTCACGATCCATCCGTGTCCTGTGAACTAATAAGTGGACTTATTTACATTGTAAGATGTATATGATCTATAAAAAAGTTGAGAGATATAGATATGTTTATTAAGCCCCATTTTAATGATGAAATGTGTTTTTGAATAGTGAAAATTTGGAGAATGTGTGGTTAAAAATAAGGAAATTTTTTCAATTTACGAATAAAATTATTTATAGAAAAATGTGTGATTAAAAATGAGTTTTTTAAGAAATGAGTTTTTGAGAAATGAGGGCTAAACATATGCTAACTTAATAGGCACGTATCAATATGATGGTTTATGCTTTCACCAACTCGATAATATATAATCTATGTCATTCTCATCCATTCTTTGCGATATGGTCAACCTTTTGTATTAAATACGTTAGAGAGTCAATTATTAGAGGCCGTTTCATTGAAAAAAAACATCAAAATAAGGTGAACATTACAGAACGACACAAATGTTGTTATTGGACATGAAAATGGCCTTTGTGTCGCTACATGTGTAAGCACAAGTATAAGCAGTCAGGATCCTCCGTGTCCCGATAAATAATAAGTTGAACTTATTTATTCTGTAAGATGTACATGACGACGTATACAAAACTTGAGAAATATGTTCATTAACTTAATCGACACTTTAATTTTGAAGTTACTTTGTTTCTATACTTTTCTGAAGATGATTTTTTTTTAATTGCACATGTTTGATTTTAAGTTAAATGTTGATGCGTATCTTTATAGTGTCGATATCTTTATGTGACTACCTTTGTTTCAAAATATAGGTTAAAATAAAAAAAATTGACACTTGAACGTTATGTCTCAAGAGAACGCACAAATGTCGCTAGTGGACTTCAACGTTCATGAGAACGACACAAGTGTTGTTACTTGAATTATAAGTATCCATGAGAACGGTACAAGTGCTATTATTGGACTTATAAGCGTCTCTGAGAACAATACAAGTGTCGTTACTGGACTTATAAGTGTCAATGAGAATGACACTTGTGGCGTTACGTGTGAAACATATTTATATTGTAAGATGCGTGTCATATACAAAAATTGTGCTTTCACCAACTCGATACAAAAATATATGTCATTTCAATTGTTCTTGTGACATGATCAACCTGTTACGTTAAGGAGTCTATTATTAAAGTTCGTTTTGCTGAAAATAATAAAATATAGGTGAAAACTAAAAAACAATACAACTGTCGTTACTGGATATGAAAACGCCCCTTGTGCCATTATAGGTGTAAACACGAGTATAGGAAGTCACGATCCATCCGTGTCCTGTGAACTAATAAGCGGACTTATTTACATTGTAAGATGTATATGATCTATAAAAAAGTTGAGAAATATAGATATGTTCATTAAGCCACATTTTAATAAGAAATGTGTTTTTGAATAGTGAAAATTTGGAGAATGTGTTGTTAAAAATAAGGAAATTTTTTCAATTTACTAATAAAATTATTTATAGAAAAATGTGTGATTAAAAATGAGTTTTTTAAAAAATGAGTTTTTGAGAAATGAGGGCTAAACATACGCTAACTTAATAGGCACGTATCAATATGATGGTTTATGCTTTCACCAACTCAATAATATATAATCTGTGTCATTTTCATCCATTCTTTACGATATGGTCAACCTTTTGTATTAAATACGTTAGAGAGTCAATTATTAGATGCCGTTTCATTGAAAAAAATATCAATATAAGGGGAACATTACAGAACGACGCAAATGTTGTTACTGGACATGAAAATGGCCTTTGTGTCGCTTCATGTGTAAGCACAAGTATAAGCAGTCAGGATCCTCCGTGTCTCGAGAAATAATAAGTTGAACTTATTTATTTTGTAAGATGTACATGACGACGTATACAAAAGTTGAGAAATATGTTCATTAACTTAATCGACACGTAGTAGTAGGATGACTTATACTTTCAACAACTCGATAACATATATATATATATATATCATTTCAACTATTCTTTATCACATGATAAACATTTTTGTATTACATACATTAGGGAGTTCATTATTAGAGGTCGTTCGATTGAAAAAAAAAATCAAACTATAGCATATAATGGCTATAATGTTGTTTTACATAGCAAATAATGGTTGGAGTGACGTTCTAAATATAAGATAATTAGAGTGTCATTATCATCTAATAATTGCTAACACAAAAAACTTTAAATACAAAAATAATACCAACAAAAATATTATTCAATAATAAAAGTACAATGTACACAAGATTTCTAAAAGTAATTCTTCTTTCTTCAAATGTAAAATAAAAGTTTTCAATGTAGATGATATGATAAACAACTTTGTTCAAATGCTCAAAAAATGTGAAGAATATAATGAACAAGCGAATTTTTATATAACAATCATGGAACATTGAAGAGGAAGAAAGCATTGAGAATTTGTGGATACCATGAAGATGTGAATTACCTAAAATTGAATTGAATTGATAAGGGTGTTTATGTCTTTTTCAAATAGTGAGGGTATTTAAGACATTTGATATTATTTATTTATTGTATTTTATAAGTGGAGG